TAAAAAAAATCTAAATAAATAAATAAATAACAATATTATAAGTGACAGAAATATGTTCCTCATATTCTTTCTTTTTGAAATATGTAACATGAGGCATACACACAAAGAAATCCACAAGACCAGTTCTAAATAGAAATCTCTTTGATCCCAATCAACAGTAGCAACACCCCTCCTTTCCTCAGGTAATAAGGGCTCTTATTGTAGTGCATCACTGAGGGCTGTGTGCATCTTACTCTAGATGTGTGGGTATTGCTGTTTTGTGAGTGACTACTAGGCAACTAGGGTAATACTTAAATGGCTCCACCAAATGGGCAAGGCTAAATCATATGACCCTTTCCCACGGAACTGGCATGAATGTTCCTATAGCGTTGACTCTGTGGTCAGGATCTATGCGTGAATGGATCTGCATCATTTACATTGTCCCATCCACTCCAGAACCATCAATGGAATAATGAGCTCTGGCACAGCCAGGGTAGCATCTCAGGCTCATCTTCAGGGGCAGCAATTAGAAAAGTATACATGGTTTTCTATTTTTATGTCACATGGTACCAAACTTCTTTTGGAAAATGGTTTGCACAGAGTCCCTGGTAATAGGATTGAGCCTGGTTCCAGAACTAAGCATTTAAGACAAAAAACATTAAATTCAGCATAATTTCTGTTTGATTTTACTTACAATTAAATAAGAGTTTAATTAAACCAAGGTATGTTTTAAAATGAGTGGCCGTACAAATCTTTTAAATAAAAATGGAAAACTTTAAAAAAATTGGTGGGGTGATCACTGCTTACTTTTTCATTACTTCTCCCCACAGCCATTTAAACATTATAAATTGGTGGCAACTTTTACACGGGCTCTGGGAGTATCACTGAAGGCTCTCAGGGATCGCTAAGTAGTCCTGGAGTAAGACGTTTTCCCTTATGGTGTACTAGGAATACAATCCAGTCAAATTCTGAAAAGGCAAGTGTAACTCTTACTCATGCTGCTGCATTACGACCATGAATGCTATCATAAATTCAAGGAAGATGAACCATGATCAATAATTACCTGGAATAGTGTTATCAAATAAAAAGCCCAGGAATCCGCCCACAAACATGCCAGTTGTTAGCAGCACCTGGATCACTTGATCTAGCGGTTCAATTCCTAGAAATAGAACCCATTTGTCCAATGAGCATCAGAACAAATCATAAACTCCTAATCCTCTCCTGAGGGAAGAAATGTGAGCCATCTGAAGTGTTCTTTTTTTCTTTTAATAATCAGTACACGGCATTTACTTTACACTAAAAAAAATTATGGTTCATGTGGAATGTCGCATTGTGCTTCAGTGTTTTACACAGAGACCCTGGCATGAGTACTACCCAAATTATTGCATAAATTATTTACGTACCCCTATCATAAACAAACAAGGAACATAATAGTGTAGGATTCGGTCTGGTATTTCACATCAATGGCTTCAGCATCAGGAATTGAACATTTTGTGAAGGACTCAATTTTCAATACTCCAGTTCCTTAATTGGCCCTCACCCAGCAACTGGTAATATGATTGCTGTGCTTCGGTCAGTTGAAGTTGCTGCTTCAATCCTTCAGCAGATCCTTTTTATGTTAATGATCTACTAGATTTAAGTATCAGGAAGTCATCCAAGTCTGAGCAATGCTTTAGAATGATGTATCAGCCTGTACAAAATGTGTGCAATAATCTAATTATAGCAATGGTACTCAATAAATTGCCCAAAATGTTGTCATGAAGGTTCAATTGAAGCTGTAGTTTTGCTACTTGAATCCACTGGAGCCAAATTTCAGATCAGATGCACACTGGCAGCTCAAATACCGATTTGCATATATATATATATATATATATATAT